TAGTACGTGTGGTGCCCCCTGGGGGGCGAGAACTGGGGTAGAAGTAAACGGGCGTATGTTGACAGCTCGGGTCTGTTCATAACACAATATTCCATCTGTCGGCTTGTTTGGTGTTTTTATCACGCGCCGCGGTGGACAACCTACAATATTAGTGTTAATTAGGCGCGTGCAATGCGCGTGTTTAACTTGATGCGTAAAGTGGATGCACGCGCGGTGTATTAAAGATACCGTTAATATTGTGACGTCTGTCGAGGTTTAAGGGTTGACTTTTGGTTCTTCACGTGACCCATGATGACAGAAGTGTTTAGTAAAACAAGACGACTTCGGTTGTCTAATTTTGTAAGATCAACTTCATTGATAATAATGAAACAGAGTAGGGTGCTACAAATTCTAAGAATTGAGTCAACAGGCGTGGTTTCGATTCCCCGGTTGTACGTGACAAAGAGTTGGGTCGCAAGCGAATTATTGAAATAAAGTTGAACCATATGTTAGTCCCGAAATGACCTAGTTTGTGTCGAGTGGACGCATTCCCTATTTCGTGTACGACACTGGCCTATATATTTATCCGCTTACTTCTCAGATTCTGCACTAATTTTAACTTATATACTACGTGTATATATTTCTGGACCAGTTGACAATCTGTTTTGAATACTAATTTGTCACCCATGATTTTCTATGGCAAATTATGTAATTAAATGATTTACTGCAAACATCACATTTAATAAATATATGACGTCACCGGTAAAAATTGATAGGAATATATATTCGTGCATTATTTTTATAAAATATTATAAGCGAATATTTTATTCACAAGTTAGGGAGAGGGGTTTGATATAGGATATGCCCTTTCCCAAATCCCTGTTCAGATAAAAATCTGAATAAAAATATTGTTTATAAAAAAAAGCTTAGTATAGTAGCCTGAAATTAGATTGTCTGTGTCAAGCCCTGGCGTGTTTAATTCCTGTTTCAAGTTATTTTATAGAATAGTATAAGCAAATATTTTACACACAACTTAGTAGCTCAAAATTGGATCGTCTTTATCAAATGTTCTTCTATAAATTCCATTTTAAAACTTATCTATGTTGATTTAAAGAAAAATAATCTAAAGATATATCAAGTGATTTGTTTTACATTATTTTTTTTAATTCTTGGGCGACTAAATAACGCAACGCCATAATATTACGTCTGTTAAACAATGAACATACACATATTTATAAAATTTCCCAATACACCTATGGGACTTTACCGAGCAGATGAAATAAAATGAAATGGGGTTTTCTACACCGATTCGTATAACGAGGGAAGTTTTATTTTACCCAGACAGCGTCCGAGCAGTTGAAGAGATTTCTACCGATTTATTCAATAACCACAAACCACTTATAATTCTAAGCCATTATGGCAAATAACACGAAATAAAGGTTTATCATGAAATAAAAGATATAACATGTTTATCATGGAATAAAAGATATACATGTAACATGTTTATCATGAAATAAAAGGCATAACATATGGAATAAAAGGGTTTATCATGAAATAAAAGGCATAACACGTTTATCATGAAATAAAAGACATAATACGTTTATCATGGAACGAAAAGATAAAATATAAAAGTGTTTATCATGAAATAAAAGTGTTTATCATGGAATAAAAGTGTTCATCATGATATAAAAGGCATAACACGTTTATCATGGAATGGAAAGATAAAAATGTTTATCATGGAATAAAAGAATAAAAACGTTTATCATGAAATAAAAGGAATAAAGAGTTTATCTCCTAAATGTAGTGAATATTCTATGATACATAATTATAATATTTACATCATAGATAAATTGATAAAATAATTTGATAAAGACAAGAAAGTTCTAGCAGGGAATAAACAATAATCATATTTCCTAAATTTGTCTCCTGTGCACGCTTATTTCAATTAATTAATACCATTGTGGCAATTTAAAGATACGTGTTCTACCATATTCTGATTTAGATAATGATAAGCTTAACATTCTACTGGAAATATTTGGTGTAACTTATTTCGAATATTGGACAGTGTATTCTTCTATTGCTGTATTTTCTTAACACAAATGCTAGCAAGGTAGCAAAACATACGGATATTTCTAAGAACTATTTGATTAGAATAATATGTAGATGTCATAGTATTATACAAATTCTATTACTTACTTGAGAACGACAAGAGAAACTTGTTGAAACGTAGTGTGAAATAGAAATGATTGTTTTCCATATAAATTTGTGTTTTTATATTATATGTTCAAATACTAATTGCCGTTTGATTTGAATTCCTGATGTCTTTAAATAACCGTAATTATTATATAAATACAATTCGATTATTAGCCGGGTAATTTATGTATGGTAGTTGATATTTTTTTTTTTTTTAAAAAATACCTTTTACAATAAATACCCTCCACAAATTTAACCAAAGTTTCTTATCCGGCGACGTTTCCATACGGATTGTCTAGTATGTAACTTTTTTTTTATATTTTCATTTGCTTTATAAAGACTATAGCGGATCCTGATTAAAACGGTACTCAATAATAAACGATATTTGCATTCCACAGATTAGTCTTCTGTGTAAAATGGGTTCTTTTGGTGATAATGTCGGAAATTATCTTTCAAAACGAGAAAAAAAAAAACCCCAAAAAACACCCCCCCCCCAACTAACTTAAGCTTTTTTGGGATCAACTCAAATTCATTATGGTTTTCGTGAAAAAAATGATACAAATTCTAAAAATAAAATAACAGAGGTTTGACCAAAAATTCTAAATTTTAAATAAATAAATTGACAAATAAACACAATCTGATTAAAACACAGATCCTATTTCGTTTCGTTTTTTATAGTTCAAAATTTCGTTTTACTTGTCGTCACAACAGTAATACACTGTTAGAAATTTTTGTAAAATTACAGTAGTACAAGTAGTTTTTGTACCTTAATTATCGGTATGTTCACCACAATGTAGTAGTTTTACCAAGTCTGGCGTATTTTAACGGAGTTTCGTGTATGTTTACAGAGTTTCGTGTCTTTTTTTACAATAGACGGTGATGAAATCAAAGACACATTCAAAATCAGTAAAAATACATTCTTACATATGTAATATTTCCAAACTGAACTCAAAATAAACAAGCATGCATGTAATTTTACAGATCTTACGTTTATTCACATTATTTTGTAAATTTACTTTTAGGTTAGAAATATAAATAAAATTACAGCAGTTCTCACTATAATAGTTAAAAACTAGATATAGTAAAGGCAATATGCTCAAAATTTCTGTCAAATTGATCCACTCGGAACCGAGATATTAGAGACTGAATGTTAGGCCTAGCCTCGATCATTATTACTTATTAAGTCAGTACGATAAAAAAAACATAGTCTTGATTATCTATTTTTGAATTTAATCATTAATGAGCGTTGAGCCCCAGATCGGACTCAAATCCAGTGAAAATCCAACGCATAAGATGGCATCCATGAGTTGATTATGGTCTTTTCATGTTAATAAATGTCTAATTCATAGTTTATAGAACATATCAGGCCTAAAGAAAGACCTGCAATAGGCAGATTTAGCTCTTGCATACTGTATGTTTAACTTATTGGTAGTTATCGTATTCGGTAAATTTATTGTCTCTTAGCAAGCAATTTTAGAGATTTTACGTTTACTCACATTATTTTGTAAACTTTCAGGTTAGAAATATAAGTAAATTTACAGCAATTAAATTTTTACCAAAAATGTTCGGAATGTTTACCAAAATGATGTATATTTACCAAGTTTCATTCTTTTTTACAATAAACTTTGATGAAACCAAAGGCACATTAAACCCTGGTAAAAATACATGCGTAATATTTCAATATTGAAATGAAAATAGCAAAGCCAGTAGGTAATTTTACAGATTTACGTTTATTCACATTATTTTGTAAATTTACTTATTGGTAAATTTACTGTCTCTTATGTAAATTTACTGTCTCTTATTTTATTTTAGTATTCCATAGCAACGAACCATTCCTAATAATTATTTTCTTATAGTATTCATTCTAATTTATTGACCATAATATGGACAATCACATTTTGTGAAATTTGGTATATTGCATGTTATATATATTTAATTTTCTTTATTTATACGATCTAAAACGTGTATTATTATTCATCGTACGTTGATCAGATTGTAAGTATGTTCATTAACGTATAAAAAAAAATGTTTTGACTTTCTTGTCATTGATTGTATTATCTCGTAACCAAGGTCAATTGAAGACGGTTAATTAAACCGATTGGCCAGTGTTAGCTTGACTGTCTCTAGAGCAGAGTTACAATGCCTGCAGTAGACAGTACCACAAGCTTACATCTAAAATCCTGGAACGGAAGTTAAAATCATTGTGGGTTTTTTTAACATTTGTCTGTAATTTTTCATTTACGGCTTTTAGGTAAATTTACATTGGGAAGTTTAAAAACAAACTTACTGTAACCGTTCATTTACTGTGTTGCGGTGAATTTACAGTCCAAAGTTAAAAAACATTTACTGTTTTAAGGTAAATTTACTCACAAAGTCAAATTACAGAAACTCTGTAATATTACAGCTGAATGTTTATTTACAGTAAATTTACTGGCAACTTTTGCTGCCAGTAATTTTCATGTAAATTTACCAGATTTTTTCTAACAGTGTATAGTGTAGGTCATCGAAAGTATAAAGGATTGAATAAAATGAAATGGGGTTTAACGTCTTACTGTTTTGCTCCAAACTTGGCTAATAAAGACGGGCATGCGCCATACAGTGTGCTATGTGGGAAATTTTGCCCGGACAGCGGCACTATGGCCTACTCTTATATCGAATTCCAATGCAAGGGTCGAACACCCGACCCCCAGGCTAGCGAGCCAGCGTTTTACACACTTAGCCACCGTGATCCCGAAAAAAGAATCGAAACGAAATATGGATCCGTATTTTAATCGGATTGAGGCACATTATGACACAATATGAGAAATTTAAAATAATTATAAACTCACCTGTATTCTTGCTTCGTTTAGTTTTGTGATTCTGGCCAGTTCTTCTCGACAATAAATATCGGGATAATGGCTTTTAGAGAACGCTGTTTCTAGTTCTCGTAGCTGTTCTTGCGTAAAGGTCGTTCTGTGACGACGACGTGCAGGGGTGGGGCATGACGAAGCCGAGGGGTTGTGACCCGAGGGTGTCGGGGTAGACGAGCTGCTTCCAAGAGAAGATGTCGAGGATAAAGATAAGCTGTTTCCATCGGATTTGATTTTCTTGAAGGCGCCTTCTTGACCTGAAATACAATAATAAAAATGAAATAGACACATTTTAATGGATAAAACTGGAATAAAAAATTCTTGAAAAACAAATAATTAGTAGAACGCAAAATTCTAAGGTTGGTGTACCACAATCGGACGGAAAACCCCATTTCATTCATTCATTGCAATATTTTAATGTAATATAATCCAATTCATAAATTCCAGATAATAGAAAATTCGGTATAAAAAGCACAAATTCAATTTTCTTTTGATTTTTAAAATCTTACCCAAAAAATATTGTATGTGATTTTACGCTCTTAAGCAAATATAATAAATGTTTCGTCAATGACATAATGAATTTATGCAATGTATGGGGTAAGACTATATATCAGTGGTTCTCAGCCTTTTTTGGCACCGGCACACCTTGGGACATATGAAAAAATAGTGGCACACATAGCTAAATATAAAGAAAAAATATTTGAATTTTGCAAAGTAAAAACATGTTAAGTCAAACGGCATACAACCGTTCAAAATTTCGCGGCACACTTATGAAGATCTCACGGCACACCTGTGTGCCACGGCACACTGGATGAGAATCACTGCTATATATTATGAGTATTTATACCATAAATGAGATTTTAAATTCTGCAGTTTATTCTATAATTACTTCTTTCTGGACTTTTGAATGCTCTGTGAAATATTTTCTTTTTTAATTCGTGAGCCAGATTTTTTTTTTAAACCCCCGACATTTAATTCTTGATACCGCTTGTTATTGGGTGGATCTTCCATCTCTTACACACTAAATAACACACTGATCAGCAGTGAATATTCGCTAGGCCGCGACAATCACTGATAAGGATGACATGGATGCGACTCAAAGAGCCACAAATATTAACTTTTTTCCTTCGACAAATTAAATTCTAAAACATTTTTTTTTTATGTATTAGAAAAATAAATAAAGCCGTTTGAAGTATTTGTAGGTAAAAATTAATTCCTATTTGTAGGTTGAAATTATTTCCTGTTTTAGTGTAAATGGGTATTAAAATGAGTAAAAGGCGCCTTTCTGATCGAATCTGTAACGTCTTATGTAAACAATGCACGCGTCATTGAGCCAATGATTGACGCCTCGTGATATGACGTCATATGTTGAAGGCAGTCATCTTTTACAGAGATATTAGAAGACTATTGTAATGTCCTGTGAAACATATTGACTAAATAATTGTACAAGATGAATCGCTAAAAGGAATATGATTCAATTCCGTTCAGTATCCACAGCAGACGATATAAAACAAGGCGACATCGGGTGTATGTGGTGGGTAAAATATTTTGATAGGCCTCGTTTTAAACTGATTGAAACAAGTCGTTGGTATTTTCTTAAATTAAACAATCTAGTTGAGTATATGGACGAACGGTGGCTTTAATGAATATTTCAAAAAACATTTTTATCTCCGCCATGTGGATTACAATACGCAAATATGTTACCGTCCTATATCATAAAAACAATTCTCCTCCAGTCAAAGAGAGAGAGAGAGAGTGAGAGAGCGAGAGAGAGGGGGAGGTATATAAGATAGTATGACTGTCTATATACCGGTATACACTATGTGCAGACGTATAGAAGGTAGTATGACTGTCTATATACCGGTATACACTATGTGTAGACGTATAGATGATAATGTGTGTAAATGTATTTAGGATAAAGGGCCAGTTGTAGAGATTGTGTATTTATTGAATTTCTGTATTTAGGTTGATTGGATTGCTTTGTACGTGATGAGTTTATTAAACAATCCGTCTAAAACACACCAACATTGATTTGCATGTCTTCACTATAAAATATACCATCGCCACATCTCGCTGTTTCCTGAATACCGGTTTCACATGGTTTTCTTTTGTCGAGTTTTCATAGTAAAGGTTAATGAGGAGCATCTATATAACCGTCTGGATTGATATTTTCTTTGTTGAATTTTGATTGTAGAAGGAATATTATATGTCCTGGGATATTGTTTTTAAAGACACGAGAGCAGGTCGTAGAATTAATTCCGTCTGTAAATGTAAATGTCGAGCCCGTATTCTTACCTCTTGCATGCAAATCTTAAACCGACCCTTAAAATGAGAGAGAGAGAGAGAGAGAGAGAGAGAGAGAGAGAGAGAGTTTAACATATAGTTCAATTTTATTTCAATAATTCGCTTGCGCGTATATAGGGGTCTTAAGCAGTGGGGGGAAACCGGAGGACATTGGAGGTTGGACAGGCGACCCTACTCCTTGTCACGTACAACCGGGTAATCGAAACCACGCCAGTTGACTCAATGTCAGACCTTGTGATACGACGAGCACGCGCTAACCATTGGGCCATCAACCCCCCTCCCCTTACAATAAAATCGACTGACTCTTATTCTAAAAAAACGGAATGATTTATTAGTTTTATTGTGTAAGAAATATTGTGTCCTGTGAACACTTAAACACACCAGGATGGGGTCAAATGTTCCTTGTCTATAATTGTGATTGTCAAGTCGCATTCTTACCCATTACACGAACAATATAAATAAAATGACCTTAAAATAAAAACGCCTCTTTCACTTATTTCAAAAGAGAATGAATTAATGTTTTACATTATAGGTTCCCATTGTCGTGCGAGATGATCGCTAGTGAGTGCACGACACGTTCGGATACGTTTTGATAGGAAATGAAATGAAATGGGGTTTAACGTCCTACTGTTCTGCTCCTAAACTGGGCTAATGAAGACGGGCATACGCCATACAGTGTGCTATGAGGGAAATTTTGCCCGGGCAGCGGCACTATCGCCTACTCTTATATCGAATTCCAACTGCCAAGGGATCTTTTACGTGCATTCCAATGTATACACGGGACCTCGGTTTTTCGTCTCATCCGAAGGACTAGACAGCTGTACTTGTCAGGCCCTCCGTCCTGCATCACTGACAAGGGGGAACCACGCCGGAAAATCAGGATGAACTATCTCGGCCAATGCAGGGATCGAACACCCGACCTCCAGGCTAGCGAGCCAGCGTCTTACCCACTTAGCTACGGGATCCCCCGTTTTGATAGGATCAACACGATTGCTACGACTGACCTCAATATATAATAAGACCTGATAGGATCGCCACGATTACCCCACGATTAAAACCACGATTTCAATCGTAGCACGAATCGTGATAGTAGAGTATAAGGATTTAACTTAACGACGGGAATTATATATATTCTTTCCATATTCTTTGAATGGCATTTAGTAATTGCAACATAATCAAATAACACACTAATTATGGATAACAATTACTATAGTTTATTTCACTGCGACGTTTCAACAATGTTTCACAAGTCGTTATCAAGCATATACACAAATAGATAAAAAATGAGAAAGATATGAATATATATATATACAAACATCAGTGCGAACTATCCAATGGTATGCAATCTTGTTGAAACGTCGCAGTGAAATAAACTTTAGTTATTGTTATTCCATAAAAGTGTGTTACTTGATATTCTTTCCAGTGCTAGACCATAAAATACATGGCAAAATTATATTTTTATTCTATATATGAAACAACTTAATTATAACAAACTATCAAAATGCATAAATTTTAATATTCGACATAATATTTATTCACAATGTAGGGTTGATGTTTGCGGTTTTAGATTATAAAATAAATTTCGAAATTTAGTTTCTATTCCATAAATGAAAAAGCTTTATTTTCACAAAATCGCGACATGCGTAATATTTCAATATATTAAACAGCATTATGGGAGATTAGATAAAGAGTTGACAGTTCTCGCTATACAAATTTAAAAAAAAATAACGTAAATAGAACAATGCTGGAAATTTCAGTCAAATTGATCCACTCTGAACGGAGATATTAGCTTTTGTATTTTAGGCTAGCCTCGGTCATCATAACCAAAGTCGGCATGATAAAAAAAACAAAGTCTCGATTATCCATTTTTACGTTTAATTATTTTTAATAAAACGTATTCCAATCTGCTAAATAACGCAGGCTAGCGATGGCATCGAGAATTGATTATGGTCTGCATAAGTTAATTAATGTCTAATTAAGAATTTAGATAACATTTCAGACCTAAAGAAAGACATTTAGCTCTTGCATAATATATGTTTAAATTCAATACATAATATTATAACAATATAGGATTGCTACTTGAGGTTTGAAAAAAACAATTATGGGGAAAATTAGCTTTTTTGCCCTCTTTTGATATGTCGTCAGCCACGGGCGATATTCGTGATCGTGTTTTAAAATCACGAAGACGCCATGACAGATGTAGTGGGAGGTGACGTCACACTGCGGGAGAACGATACTCGAATGTTTATTATATTGATGACGTTGTGTAATCTACAAGGTGTCGATCAGTTCAGTCATCTAAACTAAACATATGGGCTATTCTATTATTACACACATTCAATATTTAATGACCAATCAGAAAGATCATTACAAACACGTTCCCGTGATTTTTATAACAAGGGTTTTAATTACTCGAATAACTTCAATAACAACCAATCATAATAAGTATTAGAAAATCGTTCGGCATTATTTATTCGGTTATATGTTTTTTGTAGTCAAGGATTTTCCGCTGAAGTATATTAATAAAAATATGAAAGAAGGGTTTGAAGCCTGATGAAACTGATAGCCATATTTCAATATGGCAACCACATATACACAAGTTCTAATGATGACTTTATTTATATGTCTAAACTTTATACATAAACAGAAGTTGGGTTGTCTATATCCAGACCAGTTGGTGGAGGTCCCGGGAAGTTGGGGTTGGGGGAGTAATCAGCCCGGATCCGGATGCTATATGGACAATTCCTATATCTCCAATCCAAATCCTTTACCCCAACTCTCCCCAATAAGTTTGAAAATAGACCCTCATCCCATTCGGTTTGCGGTAATAAATTATCTTTTAGTAAAAATATTATCTCGAAGCCCTTAAAATAAACATGGACGTGCAATTATCTGGACGTGCAATTATCTGCGATATCACTTCGGTGGAAGCGGACGATAAATAAAGCTATTTCACACACGCAATTATCCACAGACTGGACCTTCTAACGTACGAAAATATCATTTAATTTAATCCAACCAAATTAAATTATAGTTAATTGATTCCTAATGTTATTTATTTTATTACCGCGGTGATTCAGTGGGTAAGACGTTGGTTTGCGAACTTGGGGGTAGCGTGTTAGATCCCTGCTTTGGCGGAGGAAGTTCATTGGATTTTTCCGGCGTGGTTCCCTTTATCAGTGGTGCTGGCCAGATGGCCTGGCAAAGGAAAACATATAGTCGTTCGGATGGGACGAAAATGAAAAACCTAGGTCCCGTGTACACATTAGCGTGCACGTAAAAGATCCATGACAGTTGGAATTCGATATAAAAGTAGACCGTAGCGCCGCTGTCCGGGCAAAATTTCACTCATAGCACACTGTATGGTGTATGCCTGTCTTCATTATCCCAGTTTGGAGCAGAACAGTAGGACGTTAAACCCCATTTCATTTCATTTATATTATATCTCTGTGCGTCCGTTGATGGATTGTTGAATCTCTAAACAAAATATCTGTCCAAAAATGAAACAATTTCGTTCCGTATTTACAAAGATATGATGAATTAAAAATTTGTTAACATTCGGCATCAACTGCAGTCGGTGTATATTTTATAGTCGACAAAAGCTAGTGCCACCTACAGATGTCGCCGAAATCTTCTCATAGGCCTCTGTTTAATTCGATTGAATCAAAGCCGGGAAATTATCATTCATATTTTGACTTTGTTTTCTATATTAAATTTTAAATAATAATCATTTTGGGTATGAAAAACTTGGATTAAACCATGGAAAATTTGATATCCCCCCCCCCCCAAAAAAAAGCAAATGACGGACATTATTCCAAATAAGGTACACTTTATTATCAGTCTCACACCCTCCAGCCCGAGAATTTGGCTTGATAAATCTCAACCGTCTGTCGAAATGCCAGTGCCATATCTACCGCGCGACTCATTGATTTAAACACGATTGTGATGTGACTGCTACGTGTGAGGTTCTGTAATTTAGTAGAAACGTGTGATGTTCTGTAAAATTTGGTCGAAACGTGTGACCTTCTGGAGAAATTTGGTCCAAGGGATAGTGGCGCAGAGCATGCATATATGTAAACTTTGTAGGAAAAGCTTCATCCGCCCTCTGTCGGACCGTCTACTAAATAAGTTAGACAATACAAATAAAATCGGTTCAAAAATGGTTAAAATTAAAATAAATCTCACAAAGGCTTGTGTTTTGTTTTCTTTATTTTCTCTCGTAAAATATTCGAAGTTCTGTAAAATTTGGTCGAAAGGATTTTTTTTTTATATAAACAATATTTTATTCAGGTTGTCTGAATTGGAGTGGGGAACAGGCTTAGCCTATGTAAAACCCCTATCCCTAAATAATATTTATATTTTTTATCTATTAAACATACACTATATGCAAGAGCTAAATCTGCCTATTGCAGGTCTTGCTTTAGGCCTGAAATGTTATATAAACTATTAATTAGACATTTATTAACAAAACAAGACCAAAATCGACTCTCGATGGCATCGGATACTCCAGATTTTAACTAGATTAAAAGGGTTCGCCATTTAAAAATTTAATTTAAAAATGGGAAAGCGAGGCTAAGTCACGATTATACCAGTGCCCTGGTTACCACTGTGCACACATCTTGTCAAAACTACAAACAATGATAACTTGGCTGAGAATGAAGTAATTTGAATGAAATTTTCAATATTTTCTTTTATTTTATCATTTAATTTTGAATTATTATAGCAAGAATGACCAACTCTTTATTAAACTCTTAACTAATGTATCTTTAATGCATTGTGGTGCGGAAAATGTATTTAACAATAATAACTTTTATATACCACCCGTCTTCATTAGCCGAGTCGGAGCAGATCTGTAGGACGTTAAACCCTATTTCATTTATATACCATCTTTATATAATTTCTTTCCAAATAATTGGATGATAATTTCTATTCACTTAAAGTTTACGGTAAATTAAATAATTGACAAAATATGGAATGAAGCTGTAATTATATTAATCGTAAGCGCGTGCATGAGCGCGTGTCAGTCACGAGTCGATGTTTGTGTGCACGTGTATATGGTAAATAATATTAGATTTAAATAACCTAAGAGGTTTTCGATTTTACGAAAATTCAAAACGAATTCTTATAGTGCGGTTCTGCTGCTGTTACTATTATTATAGTATTAAATATGAAGGTGGGCCGTGGTGTTTACAAACAAATTCAACAAAACCTAGACAAAAATATGACAAAATATATTTTAACCAACTGACTTTCACAGATTTCCCATAATTAAATATTTATTCTTGTGATAAATTGTTTTAATTATCTTTAGTAACTGAACATTAAATATACAGGTCACAATTCTATGGAATAAAATTACTACTTATTACTGAGCGATGTCTCAAATATAGACATATGAAACGTCTTCGATAAAAAACAATATAGGCCTACTTAAAACAATTCTTGATATTTGTTCTCATGGCAAAAAAATCAGAAGAAAAAAATATTGAAAATGAGAAATCTAGAATATGGATTATGACATTATTTATGAATAGTCCCAAGACGGACGAAAGGTACTTTAAAATGTTAAAATGTTATTAAACCAGTGTTGAAATCAGTTTGTGTCGGCATATCTTGTATCTTTTCATCGTTTACCGCGAAACAACGTAGTGCAGCTTTACGGTTGTATATATAACTTGAACGTTTAGGTGGAGTTCTTACGTCGTCACCAGGATGGAAAAATAATTCTGGTTAAACATAATAATGTATCTTGTTACAGGCGCAAGAAACCAACCAAATGATAAATATATAGGAATTTGAATCCAAAACTATGAGTTATTATTAACAATAAAAACTGTTTTAGATCTTGCGTTAAATTTGAATAAAGGATAAACGCATTAAATCATTTTTTTCCTAAACTGAACCGACACATGCCTTTTCTTTCAGTTTACGGTTAGGTTATATAAATTCTTAAATACTGTTTTTATTTTCATTGCGTTATATTTAAGATACGTTTTCAGAAATGAACAAGACTAGGGACACACCACTTCTTATTTTAATTTTAAAAATATCAGTTAATAAAAATTAACAAAACGTACGCACACGCGGGTTTTTAAATTAAAGATTAAATATTAATTATTAAAAACAGAAAGATTCCATGAACGAAAATAAAAATCCAAGTATTGTGAATGAATAATTAGCATGGTTCTTTTATATCTTTCATGATAATCAAATATTCCAAAACAAATCCAGAACAGGTGAAAATACTGTATTACAGAATTTATATTTTCTAATACATTGTTTTCATGGCATTTAATAATTGAACTGAAAATATACAGGACAATAATTCTAAGGAATACCATTACTATTTCAAATAACACACTATATCACGGATAACAGTTATTTCACTGCGACGTTTCAACAAGATTTCACAAGTCGTTATGAAGCGTATATCAACCAATCTGATTATAATACAGATATATATATCACAAGTTCAACATAAATAGATAAAATGTTTTATTTGATTATGTTTCAATTTCAATGCCATTCAAAGAACAGTTACTCCTTATTACTGGGGGCCGTTTCCACTAGCGAGGATATAATTATTTAAAAAAAAAAAAAGAAAAATAAAGACCGAGAACATCGCGTAGTAATAAACTATAATTGTATACAACTGATACAAATATTTTTACACTTCCCCATGTCTTAACATGTATCGGTTAAAATTATTAATTAAGAAAATTAATGGAAAGTTTTATTGGTGGATATCTACGGTTTTTGATAAGCGGCGACGATTTCCCGACAATCATTCCGTTATTTTCAAAACCAAATAAAAAAATGTCCTTAACAAGCCAATATGGAATTGGAATGCTTTAAATAAATTTTTAAAAAATGTTTTTCTTGTTCAAGTTAATTTAAAATTGGAGAATAAAAGTAGTGGGAATATTTGATGAAATACATCGAAAGAAAAATAAACTTACCTTTTCATGTTTTTGTTTTCGTAATGCAACAAAATACGAGTTTCTGTTTTTTAAATTATAAAATAATTCCGTAAAAGATAAAATAATTCTGTCCAAAACTATTTGAAGTTTTTGAGAGACTTGTTACGAGAGGAGAATTGTTGAGAACTGTTTATGTAAGAGACTAGACGGTTTTATATTATAGTAGAAAATTGCGTTTGGGTTTATTTATTAATTAAATCCTCGACCAACCCCTTCAATGTAGGAAAGAAAATAAAATTACTCCAGACAAAATCATATAAATTAAACTAATTTGCCGGCAAGTTAATTTTTCTCAGCCTAAACTAACTTTCACTTGTGAAGCGACTCTACAATGCTAAAGTTAATTATCCAAATGAAATTTGCTCGCCCGTAACCAAATTTTTTGTTTGTTTGGTACGCCATATCCAATAAACGAGTCCTGAAATTAAGTTGTTTAATTAATTAGTAACGGAATCGCCTACCTGTGGAATCGCCTAAAGAACGGGTAGTGGAACTCGCTACCTCCATTCCGTATAAACTGGAAAAATCTCCACACTTTCTCTTGGTGTCCAGATCTTCAGCCCCGATTCTGTGTTCGTCTGTCATTCTAATGGCAATTTACAGGTAATAGCGACCGAACGAACGATTGCCCAAAAAATTTTCACTGTCTAATGAAATTTACCTTCTTGTACATTTATACTACCGTTAGAGTAATCTAACATGGCATTTACTATCAACCAATCACAGTCGTCGATATGCTCTCGTGAGCCCGGCACGCGACAGGGGTCTTAAAACGTAATTTGATTGGCTGTGTTATGTACCTTCGATGCCATTAAGAAGAGAGGCGGTGCCTTTCTGTTGCCTTTAGTGGAAGAATTCCCTTGATGCTGGGAGAAAAGTCTTGAAAGAAATGGCTTGAAAAGAGGAACCGTAGCGATGTAAATGGAGTATAATTAAGACAGTAATTAGTGGAACTCGGGTGCCAAATGTCGCTGTATTTCCTCCGCTCTTTCTTCTCGCTTCTGTGTTGTCCTCGGGGCGGTAAAACGGCTCTCTCTTTCTAGACGCTATAAATCCCTGGTCTTAAATCCCCGTGTTTTTCTCTGTTAATGTCAATAATAATCATAGGGAAGTACATATCAAGGGAGATAATATTGACGACATTGAGATATTTTTTAAGAGATAACGGGGTGATAATGATACATCTTTATTCTAATATGTGACAATATAAAAGTCTAATAAATAATTATAATTTTTTATAACTAGTAATTTGACATATGCGATTCGCGTTCTTACGCGATACGGTTTCTTCACCGTCCGTGGTGTATCTATTGTAATGGATATTTAAATCTTGAAACAGTTTCGCTGTGTATAAAGCAGTAATTATTACTAAATTTTAAATGGGTTGTATATCAGGCTTGTATGGCACAATAAAAAAAAAACACAACATAATTTATAAGGAAAACAATCACTGGTTTATACACATAAAGCACGACGTTTCTACAGTTAGTATTCTCTTATAATAACACAACGCTTCGACACGTGTTCTCTTATCGTTATCAGGAAAAAATGATTGTTGGGTTGTATGTATTATAAGTATATTTACAATTACAGTACTTGATAAGGATAAGAGAATAATTGTCGAAACGTCGTCCTTTATGTGTATAAACCAGTGATTGTATTCCATATAAATTGTGTTGTGTTTTTTAATGTGTTCAATCGCTAAATGTCACTGAAGGATTATACAATTGCAGTAGTAGTTATTGTGTTTTTTGTGTTCGTTTGTTTCCATATTTCTTTTCATTGTCATAAATGTATCCGTTTTTTAGAATAATAAATATATTGATAGAGTGTAAATGGGTTATACAGTTTGACTATATTTAAGTTATTAAATTTAATGAGGATAGAGTTGAAGTTTTGCGGGGGACCCAAATCGCTCCTGGAAGATCGAAACCTTCGTTTAAACGATCATCCAGACCCACCGCGATGCCTCATATCAGTCATATATAGGTATCATACATCTATTGTTATAATGTTACGCCTCATTAGATAAATCTCATTGATCTATCCCCCAACCCCATTTATTTATCGATTATGTCCCTTCTGCTCAGAAATTGAGACAAGATTCCATTTTTTAATAGAATTCAAAATGTATTCCGACCTCCGTTATAGACCTTTTAAATGAAATGAAATGGGGTTTAACGTCCTACTGTTTTGCTCCGAACTGGGCTAATGAAGACGGGCATACGCCATACAGTGTGTTATGAGGGAAATTGTGCCCTGACAGCGGCACTACGTCCTACTCTTATATCGAATTCCAACTGTCAATGGATCTTTTACGTGCACGCCAATGTATACACGGGACCTCGGTTTTTTGTCTCATCCGAATGACTAGACAGCTGTCCTTGTCAGGTCCTCCGTCCTTATAGACCTTTTAAAGAAATGCATAAGACAGATGTACATTTCTATAATATGTTTACAAAAGAGAAAGTTATTAGTATTTTTTCTAGTGATATCAATTTTATATTTGACATGTTTCATAGGAGATCCCGGTTTTTAAAAGATACACGATATTATCTTATATATTAGAAATATATAGATATAACTAGTGTCCCATAGACCATTATGGTCGGGCGAGATATACCTAGTACCATGGTCGAGAGATATTCTTTTAAATTAAGTTTTTAACTGAATAATGATATGTAACATCGTGTGACACTTTAATAACTCCTTCTTCTGTGTAAGATGGGTTGGATGGCCGAATGGTTAGCACGTGCGTGTTGTATCATAGGGTCTGTCATTGAGTCAACTGGTGTGGTTTCGATTCCCCGGTTGTACGCGACAAGGGACAGGGTCGCCTGTCCAACCTCGTGTGTTTTCTCCGGGTCCTCCGGGTTTCCTCCCACTGCTAAAGACCCCTACGCACAAGCGAATTGTCGAAATAAAATTGAATCATATGTTAGTCCCGAAATGACATAGTTTGTGTCAAGTGAACGTTAAGCCCCATTTCACCCTCCCCTCTCTCTCTCTCTGTTTCTCTGTCTTTCTCTCTCCTTGGCGGTCATTTTCGACGATATTGACAGAAACACACCGCTGTTGATTCTTGTCTGTGATTAGTTGAACAAAGATGGAGACTGTCATCTCACAAAAAATATAATTACAATTATTTTCTTTTAAAATTCCAATTTTTTTTTATTTCTATGGTCCGCTTATCAAAATATGTAATAATGTTTTTTTCTATGAAAAAAATTATAGCAAAACGCGTTAATCTATGTTTACATGCATTTATATAATAACTAAAGAAATGTGGTATTTTAGTGCTACGGGAATGCGCCTTTTTTTTGACGGGACGTTAATTCTGATTTTATATAATAACCAAAGAAAATGTCGTATTTCAATGGTGGTGGTGGTAGCTGGTATTTTTGGGGGAGACGTTAAAGTTGCAATTTCATATTTTTAAGTTATATTTTTTAAAATTTATTAAAATAAAGCCTTAAAATAGATGGTATTTATAAACAGTCAAACCATGTTAAAGAATAATACTATTAATCCTATAATTCACTATTGCCAGTTGAGAAATTGGCAAAAATATCATTTTCATCTTCAAATTCAAACGTTTGAAGTTAACTACTCCATGGTGGAGAATAGAAAACAAGGGAGGTAATTGGGAGGTAATTGTGTTATTATTTCCGGTGTAAATGAGTTTTAAGTGTGAGAATGACACCTATGATCGTATAATAGTGAGTTGACAACCTATTGAGCAAAAGACATAGAAATAATTATGTTTTGACTTTCTTAGAAAATATGAAATTGTAACTTTAATTCTGATTTTGAGCTGAGTCAAACTATGTACAAAAAGTCAACACATTCTGTTGGGAGTGAGTCATTCTTTAAAACAAATATCTTCAAATTTGTCGAGGGGGGTTTCAATGGTTTGATTAACAATACTAACTAATAATTCTAGACAACGCATAGAAATATTACATTGAATATTTACGGTTAAAATATTGTTTAGATAGATGACGTATGTTGTTTCGTCTTTACTGAATTTAGGAGACCAAGAAAACTAAAAGTATTCATAGATAGAAAAGATTCACAGTTTCGGTGACATAATATTACACAATATTATTACTGACGTTTAAAAACGTTTCTTACCAAAATTATCGCAAGTGACGTATTTCCTGATCAACAGGTATGCGCATGCAATGGCCGAATTCTACAGATGTCTCTGCGATTCTTCCTCCTTTTCGTTATAAGGGTATTTAGCCCTATTGTTTGGAAATGAAATGAAATGAAATTGGGTTTAACGTCCTACTGTTTTGCTCCTATACTGGGCTAATGAAGACGGGCATACGCCATACAGTGTGCTATGAGGGAAATTTTGCCCGGGCAGCAGCACTATCGCCTACTCTTATATCGAATTCCAACTGCCAAGGGATCTTTTACGTGCATTCTAATGTATACACGGGACCTCGGTTTTTCGTGTCATCCGAAGGACTAGACAGCTGTCCTTGTCAGGTCCTCCGTTCTGCACCACTGACAAGGGGAAACCACGTCGGAAAATCCAGATGAACCTATTGTTTGGAACCTTAAAACAGTTGAAAATATGTCTAAAAGCACATATTAATGTAATACAAATGTATATAAAGTGATTGATATACACCGATTGAAAAATCAATGATAGAAAATGGCCTACTCTAATTGCAACACAGCAAATTATTATACACTCATAGACACCAGTGTAAAATTAAAATTATTTCTGGAAATTGACTTTTGTTTGTGTTAAGAAATTTGATTAAAATTAGCTAATGTATGAAATTACAGATATTAATTTTTTCCTTTTATTCTTTTAATTCGCAGGAACCTCAGATTCATATACCCTTCCATTACCCTCTACCCATATAGTCTGTTTGGGTTTGAACTTTATTTAACTCAAAAAGTTTTTTTTATTGCTTTGTTAATTAATTTTTGGGGACCTAAATATTTGAAGGTATCTGTCTTCCTCCGCCCAGTCGGCAATCCCCATAACTCGCCATTGAATACAAGGCGGAGACTAAAACTTGTAATTTCTATAATTTGTCTGTTAAAATTATGGACCAAGGAGTTTTGTACGAAACGAAGAGTTAAATATCTATAGTTCTCTAAGACGATTTCCAATCAATGATTACATAAAAACAACAGAAATATGACAGAAGTCCAGTCTCTTTCGCCGACATCAAAGAAAATATAGACGTTTCCATCTGGGCATTCCGCTACTACACGGCCGCGACCCGATTAAAGTTTAATCAGTTCGAACAATAAGAAAGCTTTCGCCTGTCATCATTGCTAATTAAGTTACGTCTTGAACTCATTCATTATTACACACGGATATAGCAGACGTAGCAGATGGGAGGCCAGCAGACGACTTCAGGATCAAGCACACGACAGTTGGTCGTAGTGGCTGTCCACCATTTTACCTGTGAGGTAATTGGCGGGAAAAGCCGTGAAGTAAACTCGCGGAACAATCAATGATGACTGATCTAATATTGACCAACAATGCAAACAGTTGATGGTTAGAATAACAAAGTCGTTACATGGTTTTTCTATTGGGGTTCGGTTAATGGACA